CAATAGTTCTCTTTTCTTCTTCCTTTTCTTTTGTAAATTAGGGTTTTTTGGCAGAAGGCGATGATCGATGGGATTGTGAATCGTTGTCGATTTTCTGGTGGTTCAGGACCGATCCTTGCATACAGGCCACTTTTTTTTTTCAGGGCAAGCACTATAAATGGTTTTCAGTCTGTTTAAACGCATTACTGCATTGTTCAATTTAATTATTAAGCAAATTGAAATGGAGAAACAGATTGTTAAATAAACTTGTTAAAAAAGTCAGTAAATTATAACTTGAGTATTATATATGTATAAAGAGGGTTAAAAAGAACTGTTACTGTTTACCCTTTGGTTTTGAAGTACTGTTTTTCTTTTTTAAATTGTTATTATTTCTTTTTTTGTTCCATCAATTTAATCGTCTCAAATTAATGACATTTAAAACTGAAAAGGTGTATATTTTTTTCTTTTCTTTTTTTTTTTGATGCGAAAAAAAGAAGTCAGTGGTAAGGATAAAAAAAAAAACGACAAATTTGGTGAAGAGGTTTTGAAGAATAAAGATTAGTTTTTTTTTTTTGAAGAAAATTATCTAGTTTTCTTCTGCAAACCTGTATCTGATAAAGCAACAGCACTTTGATCCTACCACTTTAGAATTCCTAGAGCTTCGTTTCTTCGTTTCTTTCTTAACTTTTTTTTTTTCTTCAAACTTTGAATGAAGAAACTTTCAAATTTTATGAGTAATTTAGCTGCTAAAATTTTTGACAATTTATTTGTGCCAGCAGACGACTTTGACCAGCAGATACCTTTTTAGCATATTTAATGAATTCTATCAAAATTCTATAAAATAACTAAATTTTTTTAAAGGAAAAGTTTCTTCATAATATTTCTTGAACATTGTTCTTCTTCAATTTTTACAATTGCTTCAAAAAAAGTTGAAAAGTTCTACCAGTACGTTTGAAAAAAGCTGTTAACTGTTTTGGTAATTCTGTTAACTACTTGTATGAATTAAACATTGGTTACCGTTGCAAATATAGTTACTTGTAGACCGATCTAAGTAAAGAAGAAAAAAGTACTTGTTCATTGTTGTCTGTTGTTATTATTTGTATAAAAAATTTTGAAAAAGCTTTAAAAAGTACATTAAAGTGACTTATAAATTGAAAATTTATTTTTAGACAATACCCTTATATTGTCAAATAAGAACATATGCAATAACCAAAAAAAAATTTCTGTCTTTAATAAATCATATTTTCACTTTAGTCAATCTACTGCACTAAAGGTATAATTACAAGTAATTTGCTACACGGTTTTTGATATCAAAACCAAAAACGTTTTTGATAAATTTAAAATTGCAATGATATATACACGTATAATTTTCATCATTTTTTTGACGCATTTTTGTACCATTTGAACTTGATCAAACAACTAATAAGCTACAAAAAACAAGAATTGTCTTAGCTTCTTTAAAAAATTTCAAAAAAAAAGGTTTATTTCAGCATGCGACTACATATTTTATGTCACCTTTTGTTATCGGTGCTGCTGTTGGCAGATTTAGCTATACCACAGACTGATACAGGTAATTTGGGCATAATTGCTGTAGAAAAATTTGTCGATAATACTAATAAAGTACCAATTAATATTGTTATACAGTTACCGAAAAGCTTCATCACTGCACCTATACAACAAATCGCACTTTACCTTTTCTTAGAGTCAACTACCGCACCGCAAATTAAAACTGGTTACGTTACATGAACCTGGGCTCATCTTCTGCTATAAAATTTGAAGCTGTATATGATGAGGCACCAATAATTAACTTCTAACTTCTTGTCATGTTTATTGACTTTAGCTACCAAGAGCCGTCAGACAAATCAGATTCTCAACTAAAAGCTGCACTGTCACTTAAATTGAGCAAAAAGAACTTGAATATAAAGAGTAATTAACGATTTAGAAATTGCAGATAGTACAAGTAATGGCCAAGCTTCTGACCGTCACTCAGTAATGATGTCGCCGCCGGCACCAGAGCCTTCACCAATCTCAACGCCTATGCCAAAACTACAACAAAGCAGCGACTCGAATACAGCATCATCGCTGGCTACCGATTCACAAGGTCCGTCGAGTCTAATGCCTTTAGCCTTTTCAGTTTCTGATGATCCATTTGGTCAAGAAACCACGATGGAAGATTACGGTGAAGAATCCGAACCGGTAATTTTTTTAGTGTTTAATTCAGTTGCACAACAAAACGCTTAAGTTTTTTGCTGTTTTTTTGTTGATATTAGAAATTCTTTTATACGTTTTGACACTTCTTTTGCCAAAAATAAAAAAAAAATTTATTAAAATTTTTATGGAGCAAGTGGAAGTTACTCTAAAACTTGACGTTTTAAACTTGTTGTCAAAATTGTATTTTCTTTTATAATTAAAAGATGAAAAAAAATTTTTTCTTCAGAATAACTCTACCGTTCTTTAAAGCTAAGTTGAAAATCTAAGTAAAAAATTAAATCTCTTAAACAAATCAAAAAAATATATACTGACGAAAAAAACTAAAAAATTTATTAATTTTTTGAAAAAGTGAAATGTACTTCTACTTCTATAAAGAACAATTATAGCAAACGTGATTATTATAATGCTTAATTAAATCTGCTTGTTAACGCTTTTCTTTTTCAAAATGCATCATTTATTTCAAAAAAAACGGCTATGATTTAGACAAAGCCTGATGCTATTGATGACGATGCTATTCAGCAGCTAGTAAATAAGTTTTTAAATACTGGAGAAGGTGGTGAAGAAAGTCAAGAAAAAGTGAACAAAAACGCTTTAAGTTTGATTAACTCAAGCAGCTACTGGAGCAATGAGGCTGCTGTAAGTTTTTTCTTTCATCATTTTCTTGTCTTATGAACATTTAAAAACAAAATAATTTTAAAATGCTGATTTAAACAATTTATACTGTTTGGTAATTTTGAAACAGAACCTGTGTTCAAAGAAGTTATTTTACTAAATATTTTACTTTTCAAACTTCCATTTAAGTTGTTCTTACGATCACTTCCGACTGCTTGAGATCTGTTAGTGAACTATATTGTTTGAAAAAATTAAAAATTTTTGCTGAAAGTTTCTTATATGCAAGTGAATTCTGACTGACAGTATAAAAGGCTGCAATGCTTCTTAAATTTTTAAAACACTTATGACAGGAAAAAGAAATGTGCTAACGTTTAAACTGTCATCTAAACTCAATTAAGCAAATAAGCATCGTTAAAATCTTTTCTTGCAGGCTGAGAGATCAATTAAAGATCCTGCAGAAGCAAAAAAATGGTTAGATGGTTACGCTACAGAAGCTCAAAAAGTGCTTCACGAGGTTGCCAATTCAGGATGGAATTATTTTACTTCAATATCGCCTTTGAATAAACAAATGCTTGACGAAGCTGAGGAGGTTTGAGTTTAAGATTTGGCACAAAAAAGTCCTTTTAAATTGTTGACTTGTTTTAATACTTAGTTTTCCAAAATGTTGTTTACTACTTAATATAATTAATAAACAGCAAAAAAAATGTCTTTCAAAACATAAATAATAAAAAAAACATAAAGAGCATTTGATAAAGTTTGTAAACGAGAAACAAATAAAACAAAAATTTTTATAGCCAAGTTAGCATAAAAGCCGTTTTATGTTATCATTTCTAGATGTTATCACAGTTTGTAAAAGCGACATCTCGACAGGCACGACAGTTTGACCTGTTAACTATTGAAGATCCAACATTACGACGGCAGATTGAGCTGCTGACCGTTGAAGGAATAAATGCTTTGAACAAAACTGAATATCAACAAGTTACTAAACTGCAGGCTGCTGTAAGTGCTCAATTGAAATAATCTGCATCTGTTTTGCAGACTTGATAAACTACGACTTTTTTGGGTCGGTTTTTAACTAAAAAAACTTTCTAGATTAACAAAGCTATTACTGATGCATCAATATGCGAGGAAGGTAAACCGCCTCCGTGTCTGTTGAAGTAATTTTTATATCTTACCTTTTTTTTAAATCTTTATTTTAAAGGTTTTCTTACCTACTAGCTCTAACAGTGAGTAATCAAAATTTCTCACTGAGTATTAAAATAAGCGCCAGTTCCTTTGAAAGCTTAAAGTAGTTTCATTGGTACCATACTACAAATAACTTGTTTAAGACTTGTTGATCTTACATCTGCAATGATATATGAAAAAAAGCCACAAAATTTGTTGTACATTTGGAAATCCTGGAGAGACGCTGTTCTTAAGGCTGACTTAGCTTCAACGTATGAACAGCTAATGGAATTGACAAACAAGGGTACCTCTTTCCGATAGTTGATTTAGTAAATTTTCTACTTTACAGTTAAAATCCCGCTAAAATAACTGCATATATGAATTAGGTAAATAAGTAATATAATTCAGGTGCAAAAATAACTGGCTTTAAAGACGCTGGTGCAATGTGGCGAAGTCCGTTTGATCTATCCACTGAATTGACAAAACCAAAAATAAATTTATTAGAAGAAGTAAACAGAGTTTATGAACAAATACAACCATTTTATAAACAAGTAAGTTTTCCACTGTTTACTTTCTTAATTGAAAGCTGTTAATGTTCCCAGAAGTAGAAAATTAGAATATTAATATTTGTTAAACAGTTATATATATTTATTAGTAAAACTAGCATTCACTACTTCGATGTATTATTGTTGTCGTCACAGAACAAAAGAATAAACTGATTTTAGCTACATGCATATTTTCGGCGTCAAATCGCTGCCATTTACCAGGTGTCAAACGCTTCTGTGATTGCAAAAGATAGACCAATTCCAGCGCACTTTTTAAGTAAGTATAAAAAGTATTTCAGTTCTTATTATGCATTTATTAAGTTTAGAAATAAGTAACTTCTGTTGCTTACCATAATTTTTTTGTTTGTAAAATTTTTTTCCTATATGCTCTTCTGAAGAAGATGCTACAGATTTATTACAGACTTACAAGAATAGTAAATGCATAGATTTGATAACAAAAACTTGTAATAGATGTAAAAGATTTCTGTAGAATTTCAAAAATTCCAAACACTTTTATAGGAAATTTGATTGATTATAACTGGATCAGTTATTATCACGAATCTCGACCTTTTAAAACTGAAAACAAATACAATCAAAAAATTCTTGAACGCTTACAAATGAGCAACTTTACGTCTAAAAAGATGTTCATTCAGGTTTGCTTTATTCAGCGTTAGTATTACTAAGAATAAAATCGTGTTAAAGCAATTAGATGTAGTTCTTTGAAAGCAGTTTTTGAAATCTGCTTAGATCTTTTATGCAAGTCTTCCGATTAGTTACTTCTAGTAGCAAAACATTTTAATTTAGGCATATAGATTTTTCAAAAGTCTTGATTTTGAAAAACTTCCAAAGTCATTTTGGGAAGACTCAGTTTTCACACGGAAATGGACTCGCGATATGCTGTGCGATCCACCAACTGCATATGATATGAGGGATCGAGTGCATTACAGGTAACTGTTGCTATTAGTAAAAAAGTACAAAAAAAAAATTTGATGGAAAAGTTGCTGCAACCTTACCTGCTTTTCTTCTTTACTTGACTAATATCGTATCATTATAGCGCTTCACTTTAATCATTTATTTCTATAACTGCTTTCAAGACATAACAATAATAATGAGTAATTTTGACAAATATTATGCAGTTTAGCATTTATACCTTTTACTTTAAAAACGTTTTAGAGTTAAAGCGTGCGTACAAGTCGGTGAGGAAGGATTTAGGATGGCCCATAAGCTTATTGCCCAAGTTTACTATCAACATTCGTATCGACAACAGCCACTGCTGTTCCAAGAAGCTGCAAACCCGAGCATTCTTTTTGCCATTACTAATGCATTCCACATTATCGCAGGAAATCCTGATTACTTAGCCAGTTTAGTAAGTTCTGATTTGTAAAACAAGTAATAGCCACAAAAAGAGGCTAAGATTCCTAAGAAAGAAATAATTACATACTGATTTAGTAAAGCAAATGTTAGACGACTACAAAAGTAATATAAACGAAGAAAACAACAAACAGTTTTTGAACTCCTTTGTCATTTAGAATTTAAGTCCAGCAGACGGAATCGACGATCAAGCTCGGCAGATTAATGCTTTGTATTATGAAGCACTAAACGAATTTGTCAAGCTACCGTATGATATTGTAGCAGATAGCTGGCGTTTTGGCATATTTGAGGGTGCAACAAATAGAACTAATTGGAACGAAGTCTGGTGGAAGCTAAGGTTAACATTTTTGCATAAGTGCTTATTTAAAAAAATTTAGTTCAAACTAACTGCTGATTAATCCTTATTTTAATATGTAAACTAAATTAAAGCAAAACCTACTGACTTTCAGTGAGCACTATCAAGGTATTCAAGCACCACTACAACGATTGCCAACAGATTTCGACGCGATAACTTCAGCTGCAATAGCAAGAATTCATTCTCCGGCAATAAGACACTTCATTGGCTATGTAGTGCAGTTTCAGATTCTCAAAGCGCTTTGTCCTCATCAAACCGAACTAGTTCAGTGCCGTTCATTTTGCTTCGACAACTGAGTTCTCTCAAGAGCTACTTTTTTTATTTAGAAACCAGCACAGGTTTATTCGAAAAATTAAAGTATTCTGATTCCAACAAAAAAAAGTAATTACAGTAAATTTTGCTTAAGTTCTCCCAAAATTTTTCAGCATAAAGGTTGCCATCTTCAAGCACCGGCTGCCAAAAACCTGAAGAAGGTCATGTCGCTTGGATCGTCAATAACATGGATAGAGGCTTTGGAAATGATTACAGGTGAGCAAAACAAAGTCTTCATGACTTTGCAAACAATTCCATCTAGTCGCTTTTCTCCAAGTATTTTAAAATGTAAATAAAGTTGGAGGCGAGCTTCATTTATTTGTATGATCGTGATCCATACAATCGGAGATAATTCAGCATCTATTTTTGGCAGGTAGCGCTAAACTAGATGCTAAGCCGCTTCTAGATTACTATAATCTTCTCATTACTTGGCTAGAAAACATTAACGAGATCCATCAATCAGTAATTGGCTGGGACGGTCCTGGAGCACCCTTTACTGAGTAAGACTTCCGTGACACACATGCTTGCTACTTTTCATTAAATGTTTTTACTAGGGCATTAATTAAAAAACATTCTTATTCCTTTATTAACGTATTTTTACTTGATGCTTTTTATAATTCAGTGCTGAACTGCCATCCGTAGTTAACAACACCGAATCTGACAGAGTTGTTCTTAGTGCTGACCAAGTCGCTTATCCAGGTAATTTGGTTTCACCAGCAGTTCTTTACATGCCTATCAACTAACGCTGAAAAGTACAGGTTGAAGTACGAGAACAACCTTACAATCACTTTCTAGTAGAAACTAGCAGATTGCAGTGGGTGATAAACCGAAAATCTTGATCTTTTTCTTTTTCATTCCGCTCTTTTAAGTGCCAATGGCCAGGCATCTCTTCAAAAACACAGCACTTTTAAGAAATAATTAGTTCTGGAGAACAACTATGTTTCTAAGACACTGTTTGTCATAAAGCATTTTTAAATAATGCAGGTGAAAACTGCACAAACGGTCAGGAGTGTTTGCTAGACTCCACTTGCAAGAAAGGACGTTGTGAATGTAATGAGGGGCTTTATACACTTAAAATCGGCAATACACACAGCTGTGTTCCTGAGAACCCAGCCGACGCAGGTAACTTTTAACTGTTTTCCTACTCTACCAGCTTGCACAGTATACGTACTGTTCCCTTCACCTCCAGTTTTTATTCCAAAATTTTTGCAGGATTTGGTGACGGCCAAGGAGGACTTGTAATCGGATTATACCCCAAAGAAAACGTAACCGAATCGAATGTCACAAACCCGTCCACTTCTACAGCTAAACCTAAAACGACTTCGCAATCTACTGGAAAAGCTGCAAGGCGGGCCGGTGTTTGGGAGTCTTTGCTCATTTTATTTGGTTTCCAGTTGCTAAGGCATATTACAAGATGAACATTATCTTCCTCAGATTCCTTTTTTTCTTAATAAACACAGATTAAAAAATTTATTTAGTGGTCATCAGTACAACTATTTATTTTTCTCTCAATAGCTATCTCTTCCGTAGGAAAACTTCAATTTACAACAAAACAGACACGATTAAAAATCAAAGGTCAGAGTTTGTTAAAAAAAGAGTAGTGCCTTTATCTTTTACGGTTGCTGACTGAAGATGTAAACATTTAGAGCTCTTACAACTAGAACACATCACAGCATTAGGGGACTTCTGTTCCTTTTTCAAATTCTTCAAACTCTCTCATTGAATCGCTAGAACTACAAATAAAAACTTATTGTGAGAAGAACAATCGTTAGCCATAATTATGCATGAGAAATCTTTCGCCAGTTGGCTGAAAGTGCAAATACTTCCCAAGTTCCTCCCTCACAATTGACGTTCTCGCACTGGACATTTGATTGTAAACTTCCCCTTGAAATAAGGAAAGTTGACCTCGAATAATAAAAAAAAGTTGCCTCTTTGTTAAGAAACCTACTTTTAAATTAAGCGTTAAGTCCAAATTAAAACCAGTCGCCAGTACTGTGACTTTTTGCTTTTGTTGAAATTTTCCAATAAAAAGGCATTAAAGGTGAAGTGAACTCAGATACATCTCATAAGACCGGCAAAAATTTTCAATTTGTCGACAGAAAATTTCGTTATCTGTCGGACAAAAACTTAAAGCAAAAACCAACCTCTAATCACAGATACGAGTTTACTAAGCTTGTTTGTGACCGGCAAAATTATTATTAACTTTTAAGCTTCCCGATTCACCAACAATTTGGCAAGCTTTCTGTATCCAAATGACGTAACTTTAGTTGCGCTTTTGGAATGTGGTATTTTGACTCCAGACCTACATTTTCTTCAATTTCTGTTTGTTTTAAAAAATGCTCGAACTCTCACACTCATATACGCATATATAAATTAAAAATGTAACAAGTTATTGTTTAAAACAGGGTGATTAAAATCATTATGACCCTTACGAATACCGGCTCACAAATAGTCATAGGGCCTTTGCTAAAATAGCGCTGCTTAAGTTTTGTAAAAAATCGCACTTGAAGGGTAATTTTACTGTGCAGGCACGAGATTATACAAAGACAAAGACCAATGTTTTGAACACGATAAGCAAAAACAAAGCATTGGTAACAAGAAACAATTTCAAAATGCAGTACATCCTGGTTATAACGTTTTTCATAAACTCGATGAAGCTGTATTTTAGAAAGTAAGCCGTGAAAACACCCGAAGCTGCTGCGGCATTATGATCTAAACAAGGTAGATTTTTTCATGTTTTCTCAAGTTTTATAAAAACCTTCAAATTCCAGAATCATCCCCTCTGGTTCTTCGATAAGCATATAAAAATACAGAATAAGAAGTAGAAAATGCCTTAATGCAAACTTGTTTCTCTGCTGAAAAAACAATTCTCCTTCGAACAATTCATATCTTTCACTTTGAAAAGTTTTTCAAAATTTTTTTTACAAGTTTTCCCCAATAACAGTTTTGTCATTACAAGTATCATATCAACAAATAAAAAATTAATCACGCCGCGAAGTCTCAGATTATTCGCAGGAACAACAACCTCTAGCTATAGAGACAATAATTGATGTAAGTATCAAAACTCCAATAACCACTAATGTTATATTCAACCAATTTTGAAACCGGAAGCAACAGTCGCCAAATAATTGGCCACAGCAGAAAAAATACCAGAAGTAATTACTGTCAGGACCTAGAATAAAATACTTTTACATTTCCAGACCCCCAAAAAGTCAAAAACAATAAATAAAGATTACCTGTAAGAGGTCAGAAAAGATGGGAATGACGTATTAAATGAAGTGAAGGTCCACATATGCTAACAAAGCCTCTCAGTCGCCTACTGTTACAAGAGTACTTTGCAAGATGCATGCGTTAGTAAGAGTTCAGTAAGTTTTTTTGTTCCTACAAAACAAAAAAAGCAGAAATTTTGATAATTTTCACTAAACCACTCTACTCCAAATCATACTCTTTTTAAACTTAATTTCATAAACCTTCAATTAAGTTTAATAGAAACAAGATCAAATAAAGAAACTAAGTAAGCTAATGCCACACTTCAATTAAATCTTACAAATAAACAAATTTTTGATGAAGTAATATAGTTCAAATTACAGTTCAATCTTAAAAAATTGATTATATACAGAATTTGGCTACATTATGGTTTCAAACCTAATTCCCTTTCCATGCTCTTTTATTTCAGTTAATGTAGCTTTCAACCCTATAAAGATATCCCTCTCTGAATCTTTTTTTACTTCTTTAAATAAAGAGACTTGAAAAAGTTCTTCAACACGAATTCAAAGTTCCGTAAAAAACAATAGAATTACTAAGTCCTTTCACCAAAAAAGTGGAAGAAATTTCTATTTTAATAATGAAAAAATTTTTTTCCAAACACTGACTGCTTTGTAAATTAAATGTTTGGGTCTATTGATACCGAAGCCTGCAGAAGAGTCAAAAAATCAATGTTCAAGTGTGCAGTTTGACGTGGTGTTCAGTCATAACCGCTATTCAATGTGCTTGAGAAGATCAATCTGTTCAAAATTGACAAATTTCGTAAATACTATTAAAGGATGCGGTTACAATTTAGCTATTTAAGCTTGAATAGTAGACGAGAAACTTCTGCCCATTTTACACTTAATAATCTGACCACCCTATCGTCATTACTTTCGCTATAGTAGTATTATCAAATTTGCAGTTTGTTTAAAAAGGTGTTAATTGGTGAGACACATCCCAAAAAATGTTTGCTAAGATGAAGTGATCATACCCTTCAAATACAGCCATTAAACGAGTATTGTTATAGAAAAATAAACATGTAAAGCTATATGCAAAGAAGTGAAGGCATAATTCGAACTTTGAAACTAATCTAATATCTTTTCTTAAAAACTTGACCACTTAAAAAATAAAAACCACGTTAAACAGAGATCCTTAATTCTTCAGAGAATTATGTCTTTTAAACGCAGGTAGCAAATAATTCAGTAAAGAAACGGTTTTTCAATGAGTTATTCAAAGAAATGGTTGCCACATTTTATTCGAGCGATTGCAAGACTAATAAACCTCCTAAAAATCAATACTTTTTAGATTATTGAAGCGAGGAAACACCAAACAAGTTGAAACGCCAAAGATATAGCTAAAATTAAACTTTGAAATTACCTATTACCTGACCCGCTCTCCAACGCAGTCTACTCCTCAATTTTAGCTACAACTTTCAAGACAGCGACGTAGCGCAACAAGAACGAATTTCTGTGTTTTTATTCACTCCTTTCGCGCACTTGATAATTTTGTGTCTTTTCGCACTTTTCCCTTTTTAGATTCCCCTAGCTTTCATACTTGTTCCCCTCCTTTGTTATCCCTCTCCATTGCGCTTTTCCTGCTTGCCAAAACACTGTGATTTTTCAAATTCAAGTTTTTTTAACACCGTGTTATCTCTACTACGTCTCACTCGAAAAAATAAATTTTAACCGCCTTAGTTTTCCATTATGTCAAAGTTGTATCATAACATTTGCAATAAAAAGAGTTCTGTAATTTCTAAGAGAAAATTAAAAGTTCCTGCTTAAAGAGCTAAACTGGAAACTTAAGTCAAGATAAGAAGAATAAAATGAAAAGCAATAAGCTTACATGCGCCGGCTCGGCAAAACTTTGCTCCTGGGTCTATTTCCAAGGATGGCGAGACCACTGTAGCCACAGCCATCAAACAAAAAATTTTAAGCTTCGTTTTAAGCGCCGAAATACTGCCTGTCATATCGCCAGACGTGAAGAAGCAACAATAACAAACCGCTAACCGTTTGAACCAAACAGATCTTCTCTAATTACTAAACGACTTGGTTCCCCGTCGTTGAAAATCTAAATTAAAGACCTTTGTTTCCACTCAACTAATTGAAAAATAAATCGTTTTTTTGCCTCAATGAAAACAAATTTAGGGTAGGGTAAGACCTAAAAAAAGAGAGGAGCTAAAGCCCAACTCCTATATGACACCTTAAGGCTAATGCCTAATAAAGTTTTTACATGCTCCATTGAACTGCACAGGTAAAAAGTGGACGATGACGTATAATACCAAAAAATTTTGCACTTGATATGTAGCGCCATTAATTTACAATGCACTAATGTCAGGTACTAAAGTTTTGTGCCACAAAAGAAACGAATTTTTTTCTAGTCAGCAAAATTTAATGGGAACAATGAGAGAAATCCAAGTATTCAGCGAATTAAAACTTTACAACTTAAGCTCTACAAAACACTTGAAAAATTTCAGATATTAAATGACAATTATGGAATCCAGTCAAGTATATTCACCTAATCAAAAAAATGAAATTTTAAAGAAGAATAATGTGAAATCATTCATAACGTGAATCTAAAATTTACTAACAGCGACAAAAAAAAAACAAAATCCTCAAAATAAATTTCACCGCTCTGTATAATATCCTTTTTAATAAACCGGCTTATCCGCAGCTCCTACTAGCACACTGAAGAAAAAGCAGAGGAAATTTACGAAACCGACTGCATGAGAAAAAGCAACACCACCACTTATTCACCTTTCTAATTGACAACCCTAAAATAAAAACAATTTTCAGATAGATGCTACGTTTTAGTCATATGGAAGCTGGAACTTAACCCTTTTTATCATACTTGTTTTGTCTCTCGTTATTCTTCGCCATATTTGGTTAACGTTGCACTTACACTACTTATTAGAATAAAGATCCTGTTATTTCGCTAGACACGAAAGCTGCAGTACAACGTAAAAAACCGTCGGACTCAGCATAACTATCCCTAGTCAAAGGCAAATTTCAAATTCATTAATTGCCCGAAAATAATACTAAGATGACAACGACATTTGTCCCAGTCCGTTTTAAAGTGAAGACAATTTGGGCTAAATAAAAAAAAAAAAAAAGTAAAAAACACATAATTCCTAAAAGCATTCGTCAAAGACGAAGTTAGGAACTATTACACAGTT